CGGCCCGCTCCGCGCCGGCCAGGGGCGGTGCCGCCCGCCATTGGCCCGCGCCCCGCGGGAGGGACCGCCCCGCCCGCGGATGGATGGGCGGATCGACCAATGGGCGAGGGGTAGGCGGGACTGCCCCGCCTCCCGGCGGCGCGGAGCCGGCTGCTATTGGCTGGCGGCAGGGAACAGCTGTGCGTGGCCACGTGGTGATGTTGTGGTTGCATCAGACGAGCCCGGGCAGATGTTGCGGGGGGGGGCACATCTGGGGGCTCCTCGCTGGCCACGGCGGCTGCAGCGGCGTCACCAAGCGGATGACGCCGCCGCCTCGGTGACCGGGAAACAGCCCAACCCTCCTCTCCGCCTCCGGGACTCAACAGGGCCTTGAGGAGTTCAGTTTTTCCACTTTTTTTAAACAAATTTTCCACTCTAACCCCCCCCCCCGCCTGAGCCGTCTCCTGCCTGTGGGCTGTGCGGCTGCCTCCGGGGGGGTCAAATCGAGCAGGGGAAAATACAAAGGAAAAACACCCCCCGAGGCAGCGGCTGCGGGAGGCGGGGCGAGGAGGGTGCGGGCGCAGGGACGGGGGGGCCGGGCTGCAAACCCCCTCCCCGGGTGAGTAACCCTCATGTGAGCGCTGAAGTCACTGCCCCTGCATCACTTGCTGGGCTTCTGGAAAAAGAGCTGCACGCAATGGCATCTCCGGGAGGAGATTCCCAGGGATCCGCAGTGAATCCTTGTGGTGAATCCCCGCGGCCGCCCCCCGCAGCCCCCGGGGGTAGAGTGTGAAGGGGATTGATGTGGGGGGAGGAAGTAAGAAAACAGCCTCAAACCAGCGTTAGCTTGGGGTGGGGGGGATGGCAGATCGGCTCCGGAGCACGTGAGCGACACCCCAGAGGCAGCAGGGGAGTCATTTTTAAATCCATCATGGTTGGGGGGAAACTTCTGTTCATAGAGGCCTAGTGGAAAGCTCTAATAAAACCCCAAAACAAAACAGAAAAGTTGTTTTTGAATGTCCTGAGACTGTCCCTGTGGATCGGCATGGTTTGATTTTGAAATAGGGATGACAGATGGAAAATGGGGCTGCAGAGCAGGAAAAAGCTTAAAACAAACCCACAAAACAAACAAAAAATCCAAGAGTCAGTGCCTTATATTAAAAAAAAAAATACACCAACCCAAACAGTTTCTGGGCAACTGCTACAGCTGGGTGGTTGCTGTTTGGGTAATCACCATGAGCTGGTTTTAAAGTGAAGCTCTGATAAAGCAGAGCCGCAGAAGCATCCGAGACTTGGGCAACACAATTATTTTTGTAGCTCGATTGATGCAACCGTGTTGGTCAATCTTCCTTTCCCCTGGCTGCAGCACGGGCTGTGTCCTTAGCAGAGGTGGGAGAGACAAATGGTTCCTGTCCTCTGCTGGACTCTGATAACCTTTGGTGGCCCTTGGAGCGGGTGTTGCTGGTGGGTCCAGCCGAGCCACGGCAGCGGTGGTGGCCGTCAGACCAGGGCCAGCAGCAGGACAAGCTGCTCCTCTGGCTGGAGCAGCCTGTGGGTGCTGGTGAAGCTCTGCCTGACGAGAGCCCTTGGAGACCCCGGGGTCTGTGCTCCAGCACGTCAGGGCACTGGGGCTTTGGGTGTGAAGTAGAAGCTGAGGTGCAGTGTGTGGAAAGGGTGGGGTTTTCTGGGCAAGAAATGAGGTGTCTCTGATGTCTCAAGTGTAAAGGAATAGCTAAACTGTGATCTTTTTATTTTATTTTTTTTCCCCAGGAACACAGCTCTGGAAGGAGGCAGCAGTTAGGGTAGTAGTTAGATCCCCAGATTTTTTTTCTTGGATATATGTCACACCTGGGGAAGATGGTCTGGCAGAGACAGCAGAGTCGTGCCAGACGGACAGTTCTTGCCCTGATGCACACGTGTGCTGGGAAGAATGTGTCAGGAGCTGGTTTCCCTTTCCTGACACTCCTGTGATGGCAGTCACTGGGTGCATGAGTAACCATTGACAGGAACAGCCTCAGCTCAGTCTTTAACTCTAAAACCAGTCCTGAGTGTGGCTGTCTGGTTGTGAATATTTTTCAGTGTTGAAGACTTTGTGTGACAGACGTTGGTTTGTGTTCTCCCCCCTGGGTGTGTGCATTTGAGTCTGAAAGAGGGAAGGAGGTGAGGGAGCTGGGGAACCAGCCGCTGTCTCTGGAAGGGCCTCTCCCAGCCACAGCATCCCGTGTGTGCCCGTTTAGAAGGGTGAGGTACCTTTTGCTAGCTTTTAGGCTTTTCCCTGGCTCCGTGTTTAAATTCCAGCCCAGCTCTTCCCCCTCAGACAGCAGCCGTACCAGCAGGAGCAGGCTTTTATTTGAATGAGATCTGCTACAGGAAAAAAAAAAAAAGTCTTGGCAGGGGCTAAATCTGCTAAATATCCTTCCCTGATACTCATGATAAGCTGGAGCTTCCAGGGGAAAAATAGGAAAGGGCAAAAGGTGAACGTTTAACGAAAGAAAGCTTTTCTCACAGCAAGGAAACCGTATTTTGCGTGTGAAAGGAGTGGGGGGAGGTAGCACAGCCCCCTTTGCTCTTACCTGTTCCCCTCATGGAGCGGTACCCGGCAGAGGAGGCAGAAGGGGCTGCAGCCCGGGCTTTAGGGGCTCTAACACCATGAACTGAGAAGCACCAACCTGCTGGTCCCGGCTGCTCTGGGCCCTCCAGGCAATAAATGCTGCCATCTGGTGCCCCGGGCCCCGCTCACACATCGCTCCAGCACCAAAGGAGCAATCTCTGCTTCTCTTGGGCTTTCCCAGTGGATGCCCTGCACCTCCAGTACCTCCCAGTACTGGTGTAGGAAAAACCACTGACCTCAGTGAGAGTGGAGCAGAGCTGCTAATAAACTGCTCTGGAAAGGAAGGTGGAATTTATACCTTGCATTGTCCTCCTCTTGCTCTGATGAATTACTTCTTGTTTATGTCATGACAGATTTATTTTTTTTTTTTTTTCCTCTTATACAGTGGAAAAGTGAGAAGAAAGCAGAGGGCTGGACTGTGTATGTCTGGTCAACCTGGGTTTGGAAGAACTGTGATCACAAGATCTAGATACCAGAGAAATCACCTTTTGAACCCAAGTTCAAAGCCTCCCTTTTTTTTTTTTCTTCTATAATATATATCTTGATTCCTGTACCAAATATAAAAATGTGGGAAAGTAAAACAACGGACAGAAGATATTCATGACAGTGACCAGCAGCCTGGCTTGTCTTGCTAATTTGTCTGGACAGAGCTAACCTCAGGTGGGGCGAGAAGGGGTGGGCAGGGGAAGGTGAGGGTACGTACAAGAAATTTCACTGGGTGGTGTTTGGGTGCAGACATCAGGAAAAGTGCACCGAGACCTGGAGAGCCGTCTGTCAGCCAGGAGGGCAGGAGATGCAGAGGTGCCCGACTCCCCAGCCAGTGTGAATGTCACCCAAATTTGCTGCTTGTTTTCCTGTTTCAGTCCTGGGTGCTGACCCTGAGCCAGCCCCTGCCGTTTAACGAGCTGCCCTTTGCCAGCAGCCCGTTCAGTGGTGCTTGCCAAGGTCAGGGAAGCACCCACAACCTAACGCTGCGCTTCCTTCTGACTTGGATTAATGCTCCTTTATCTTGTCCTCACTCTGGCAAACATCCCATTTCCCTAACGAGGATTAGGCCATCGCACGTACCCTGGTCATGGATTATCTCCGGGGAG